GTGTGTGTGTGTGTCTTATTCACTTTGTTTCACCAGGGCCCAGCACAGGTTGGTGTGTGTGTGTGTCTTGTTCACTTTGTTTCACCAGGGCCCAGTACAGGTAGGTGTGTGTGTGTATGTGTATGTGTGTGTCTTGTTCACTTTGTTTCACCAGGGCCCAGCACAGGGTGCAGCACATGGTTGGCTCAATAAGAATGTGTTGAATGGCACACAAGACAGTCCAGATGAGGTCAGAAGGCTCTGAGAAAGACCACAGAGAGACTTAATTGGTAGATGACCTGAGGTATCAGATGTCATGAGGAGGAGACATTTCGAGTTTGGAATTAATTTAGTGATCAATACATGGAAATCTAAACAGCAACAACAAAAATCATCAGTTCAAAGGAAAACAAAAACCTGCAGGAAAGGATAAGTAACGATAGTTTTACTGTGTTTTTGTTAGGTGCCCTTGAGTCATTTCCAACTCATAGTGACCCTGTGCACAACAGAATGAAACACTTGCCCGGTCCTGTGCCATCCTCATAGTTATTGCTGTGTTTGAGCCCATTGTTGCAGCCATTGTGTCAGTCTATCTCGTTGAGGGTCTTCCTCTTTTTTGCTGGCCCTCTACCAAGCATGATGTCCCTCTCCAGGGACTGGTCCCTCCTGATAACATGTCCAAAGTACGTGAGATGAAGTCTTGCCATCCTTGCTTCCAAGGAGCCCTCTGGCTGTATTTCTTCCAAGACAGACTTGTTCTGGCTGTCCATGGTATGTTCAATATTCTTTGCCAAGACCGTAATTCAAAGATAACAATTCTTCTTCAGTCTTCCTTATTCATTGTCCCCCTTTCGCGTGCTTATGAGGCGACTGAAAATATCATGGCTTGGATCAGGCACACCTTAGTCCTCAAAGTGACATCTTTGCTTTTTAACACTTTAAATAGGTCGTTTGCAGCAGATTTGCCCAATGCAAATATATCATTTGATTTCCTGACTGCTGCTTCCATGGGTATTGATTGTGGATCCAAGTAAAATGAAATCCTTGACAACGTCAGTCTTTTCTCCATTTATCATGATGTTGCGTATTGTTCCAGTTGTGAGGATTTTTGTTTTCTTTATGTTGTAATCCATCCTGAAGGCTGTAATCTTTGATCTTCATCAGTAAGTGCTTCAAGTCTTGTTTGCTTTCAGCAAGCAAGGTTATATCATCTGCATATCGCAGGGAGTTAATGAGTTTTCCTCCTAATCCTGATGCCATGATCTTCTTCATGTAGTCCAGATCTCGGATTATGTGCTGAGCATACAGATGGAATAAGTATGGTGAAAGGATACAACCCTGACGCACACCTTTCCTGATTTTAAACCACGCAATATCCCCTTGTTCTTTATGAACGACTGCCGCTTTGTTTAAATACAGGTTCTTCATGAGCACAATTATGTGTTCTGGAATTCCCATTCTTCACAATGTTATCCATAATTTCTTGTGATCCACATAGTTGAATGCCTTTGCATGGTCAGTAAAACACAGCCAAGATCCACCTGACATCAGCAGTGATATCCCTCGTTCCATGTCCTCTTCTGAATCCAGCTTGAATTTCTGGAGTTCCCCGCTGATGTACTGCAGCAATCACTTTGAATGATCTTCAGCAAAATTTTACTTGCATGTGATATTAATGATATTGTTCGATAATTTCCATATTCTGTTGAATCACCTCTCTTTGGAATGAGTACAAATATGCATCTCTTCCAGTCGGTTGGCCAGGTAGCTGTTTTCCAAATTTCTTGCTGTGCTTGAGCCCCTCCAACACTACATCCCTTTGTTGAAACATCTCAATT